GCTCAGTATCGATCTCCTCGTAAAAGACCGATACTGGCTCCAACTATGACACTACGGCTTGTTGCGTTCGATCAACTGAAGGCCGTCGACTCCCAGAGATATTTTTCCGGAATTGACAGTTCGATCCATCAAAAGCATAGCTCCTTATACTCTTTCCCCCACGCTGCCAATCGTAGCATATCAGTAGATCCGGATCCATTCAAAGAGTCAAACTCAACTCCCAACAACTACATTTAATAGTCTCCTTGCATACATCAGGAACAGTAACCTCGACTAGGTAAACATAAACAATAATAAATTTTCAACACCTGAAAAACTGCTAAGCATTAGCTTGCTGAGAACTCTCTTCTTCAACCGAATCTTCGCCAGCGTCATCACTATCAGGGAAGCACTCCCAAGAGCCGATCCTAGCTGGATTGTAACAACACAGCTGTCCCGAACCTAATACACTACCATCGTTCAATAGTACCGCAAGGGAAGTCAAAAGCATACGATAGTTAAACGAAGCTGATGACTGTGAAACCAGGAAAGTGAGATGTTCAGCATTAACCCACCGTTATAGCGCATTCCTATCATAGTGTTGCTGGCGTTCTTCAAGACTCGATCTGTGAGGCCAAGGAGATTCAACGACTCCTCCGTGAGCTGGTAATGACCTTCTTCATCTCGTACCATCACCTATCGTTCAAGCGGAGCGAAGCGTCCCATGTTTTCCATTTTCAGCTTTTGTCTTACAACAACATCGCAATTATGAGGATTGTAGGTTTCCTCGAAAAGGTCAACCGTCCAGTTGAACCAACGCATGAGAAAAATACGAAGTATCCTCTATAGTATAGTACGCTACGTAATGTCTCTGGTTCACTTATTTTTACTTTGTGTTTACAGTTTCACTCGGTTAGTACGGATTCATGTTGCATTTGGACTGTTTGGAGTTCACGTTCATCGTTGTCGCCACTAGAGCTACACAAGGCTGAGTCGGCCATAGGGAAATAGAAGATTAGTACAGAATACAAACCTGCATCAGTAGTGAGATTACGATATACGCTTGATGAATATACTTAGCAGCACTACTGAGCCTTGCCACGAGACCGTTACAAAGATACACGAAACGGTGAGGACAAGGCGAGAAATGATGTATCCAACGGAGCGATGATGATTGTCATCATTATCATTTACATCCTCTCCCCCCTTTAATGAGAGGTGGGATTAAGGCTCGCTGGGGTCTTACCGTGCCACTTACGCACGTTCCTACAGTCTTGAAGAGACCCATCACTCAGAATGACTGTTTGATGACCGCGCTTGTGGGTAACGGTGTAAGGACCAGACCAATGAGTACCGAGAGGGCCGTGACCAGTAGAAGGACTCCACTTGAGCACGGAGTCACCGACTTTTACACTAGCGGACCTCCGGTGTTGGTTGCATTGAGGCACTGGATCGATAGTGGGCTTGACATCGTCCGTGTTACCAAAGATAGCGTCAAGACGAGTGTTGCGCATATCGACCATGTTCCTCACGACGTCGCTGAGGGACTGTGGGAATGACGAGGCAGGGGATGATAGGAATCTTCGGAGTACTGTACGAGATTCACCAAACATCAGCATGAACGGCGAGATGTTGTCAGTGTCAGGAATGATGCGAGAGTTGCATCTGAATAGAGCTTTGGAAAGATACCGATCCCACTTGTGCTGGACACTATCACAGAGACACCTCAGAGTAGCCTTGATAGAACGATGGCAGCGTTCTAGCTGTCCATTCCTCCACGGGCAGTAGACTGGAATCTTCCACGGGCGGATAGCGTAGGAGGAACACCACGACAGGAAAACAGAGCTGCTGAATGCGGCTCCATTATCTGACGCAATCTCCTTGACCCGACCATAGACATCAAGAACATGATGTTCGGGAGCATTGCAAATCTCGTAAGATGTTGCTTTGCGTAAAGGAATACCACCCACGTAGCCTGAAGTTGAGTCCAGCCAAGTCAATATGTACTTGTACCCACCGTCTGTACCACGAGTTGAAGGTAGTGGACCCACAATATCAACGTATATAAGCTCCATGATATCACGACGATGTCGTAGTGAGCCAACACTGTGCCTCGCGGACCTCACAGCTCGTGAGAAGAAACAGCGACACGATGATACAACCTTGGCAGCAATGGCGGAGAGTCCAATGACATAGAAGACTTCTTTGACGATGCTAAGTGTTTGTTGTAGGCCACAATGTCCGTGTTGGGTATGTACACGAGTTACCACATCACGAGCGTAGGCTCTGGGAACAACGTAGCAGCCTTTCACAGTGATTATACCACAGTCGTTCATAACAAACTTCTTGGGGTTCACATCGTGGAGATGTTGTACTTCAAAGCACTCGCCCTGAGCGTTAGCCAGCCACTTCAAGGCGTCGATGTCATCATCGTGGACAGGAAAGGGCTTAGAGGCAGCTTTGATCCGCCAAGCGGAGAATATGCCAAGTAGGGTGGATGCCGGTGTGAGGGAAGACGAGAAAGAATGCCTCAGTTCGGAATCACCGGTATCGGTTCCAGTTGCATGGCAATTCCCACGAGAGTTACAGGCCGAGACCTTCACAGATGAAGGCGTAGTAACTTCTAGAGATCTCGCAATAGCATCAGCAATTGCAGGTAAACTTCCACGGGGAGCCCACGTAGTGAGATGTACGCATCGTTGGTATGTTTGCCATCTCGACAGATATGTGCCAATCCCAAACTCAGTCTCAACGGAGTGCCAGTGCTTGCCGACGTTGGCGTTATCAGTGACAGCGATTATTCTACCAGACAAGAGGCACTGGTTGTCGTGGATAACGTTGAGCAAGGCAGCACGTTCACGCCAAGTGCTAGATCTTGAGGATTCCACTTTGGAGAACCTCTCACCGCAGACACGGAGTGGAAGAATGGCGACACGATCTTCAGAGATATTGAAGAGCTCACCTAGGTTAGGGATGCAGTTGAACACCGTCTTGGAGTACGTTGCAAACTCAGTCGCATCCCCGGAAAGCTCGAAGACCTTGAAGATGATGGCGCCATAGCTGTCATGGTTGGCGTCCACCACAGCGAGAGTACCGATACCATCGTTACCAAGCGAGCACGGAAGAGTGCCTGCTATGTAAGCTCGGAGCAGAACTTTGAAAGCATCAGAAGTGGGTGTGGTGAGAGTCTCCAGAAAGTCGGCAGAAGTGGCCTCATCCTGGTAGTGTTTGATGGCTCCGTTCAGAGTCCGGAGAGCAGCAATAGCATCGGGTAATAGATGGCCCGAGAAGTAGTTGAATACACCGGTCCAGCTTCTCAGCCATGAGAGACGGCTTTGACGGAGTGATTCAGCTGAGTGCTTGACACGACGACGACCTCGACGCTTGGGTGGAGCTTTCCCATTGAGGAAATCGTTGAACGCGGCGTTGAAAGTAGCTTCGGAGATTTCCCGCTTGGCAGGTAGAGGTCGGTAGGTTCGGCCGTGTAATAGTAGACCACAGAAAGTTGTTGACTTGGCCGGTGACTGAGACTTCTCTTGGTTGATGATGAATCCGTACTCGGTAAGGATGTCAGTCAGCACTCTCAAGGCCTTCTCCCCATCAACAATGGTTTGTGATGAGACCAAGACGTCGTCTTGTACATGTACGACAGTTGCAGCAATACCATCGGCAACCAGCTTCGGGTTGATGACGGTGTCGAGCAGAGTACCAAAGCCTACCTGGAATGCCAGAGATGACCAGCGCCACCCTTGGGGAAGGGAAGTGAGAGCCCATCGTACGGTCACACCGGTGCGTGGACAGATAGATGTTGTACCGAAGAGCTTCTGAAGGGACTTGGTAACTGCAATGCAGCCGTAAGCATCTCGTAGATCTAACTTGGACCAAAAACCTAGGTTGGCAGATGGGACATCTCGTAAAAGGTTAGTTGCAGTCCGTTGATGCTGCTTGTACGAGAACTCATCACGCTGCTTACTGTCCTTGGGGATCTCACCGCCAGGTAGGAAGATGAAGTTGCCAGCGTCGTCGTAGCTCAATTGCAAGGAGTTGAGAGGTCTGGTGTCGATGACCAAGCGATACCGAGATGAGAGCTCACTGTCAGAGACAGGTACCGTTCGAATCTTACTCTTTCCATCGGCACGGTCGAGTTTGTCAATGAGAATCGGCTCGCATACGATGGAGAGCTCAGAATCCTGGACTCGACGAACCTTGCCTTGCGCTTCCATCGCGCAGAGTTTCTGGTAGATGATCTCAGCATCGGCAGCGGTGCGCTTTCGTTGAGCCGCTCGGTAGGGCCAGACCGTGGCATTGCCGATGGGATCGATATCACAGCAAAGTCGTTTGCCGGTGCCGTCTTGAACCACCGATATCAGAGGTTGCACGTCGGTAGAGACTCGACGACAGGTGGCTATTGGCTCAGCGCTGGACTCAGCAGTGAAGTCGACAGTAGGTAAAGTCGACTCATCGGTCGAGGATAAGTTGATAATAGCACATGATGAGTTGTGATAGACAGATGACTCGTCGGTCTGAGAGGCGTTATCTTGGCGACTGGATGATAGGGATAAGCCACCTTTGAGAGAGATGCCCTTCGTAGAGGTGAAGATGATACCGAGCGAGTCGAACATGTTCCTGCCGATGATAACTCGAGGAAGGCATTGCTCGACTTGTAAGAATAATAGACGAGTCTCGACCAACCCTACGTCAGACGAAGGTTGCTCTAGTGAACAGTTCACCGAGACGATGGTAGAAGTGGAAGTGGTTGAGTTATTACCGTAGGTTACTTTCAGAGGACGGTCTAGCGTGGAGACCGCGTCAGATGGGATGACGGTGTTATCCAATAAGAACTTGACGACAGACGCATCCACTAGGGATATGTTAGCTCCCGTATCCACCAGACAGGAAACATCACAGCGAGGACCCTGGGCACCAGTACCTAGCCGAACAGTGATGGTGGGGTCAGGTGAGGAGGTAGCGAATAGGTCAGATGCTGAGTAGTTTATCTGGGCATTGGCAGCGCTCACGTAAGCAGCCGAGTTGTTGACTAGCTTGATGTCGGAAGCGTTGTTGGACTGGTGGTTGTTGGTGTTAGATGGCGCCGACGAGTTGGAAAACTTCTTGAGACATACGCCAGCGAGATGATGCGCCTTACGACATCGCTTACAATGGAATCTACTCGAGTCGCAACGATGCTTGGAATCAGCTAAGCGACCACACCGTTTGCACCTTTCGTCCTTGCGGATGATGTCGTCAGGGCTTGCTTTACAGCGGGCCGCTACATGCCCGAGCTTACCACAGCGAAGGCAGGAGTCCTTCGATAGACCAAGATCGACTGCCGCAGCCATACATAATGCCATGATGCTGGAGTCATCGTCGACGGACCGGGACTTGCTTTTATCGCCTTTCGGAGCGGATTTGGTTAGGGCGTTGATATCGGGTAGATCATCGATAACAGCTAAGAGAGTGTCCTTGAACGTGTCGAAGTCCATCTTGTTGAGGGGATCCGCTAGCGAGGCAGCTAGCACAGCCTTGGGATCCTTCAAACCTTTCTTGAGTCGTCGAATGATAGAGGAGTCTTGGGCAGCCTCATCGGGGACAACTGACTGCTTGACGTGCCACAACTTCTCGAAGCGAGTACAGAAGTCTAGAGTCGACTCAGATGGTTCCTGTGATAAAGCGTCCAAGGCGTTCTCAAGGGATCTGAGCTCAAGGTTTGTATTGTAACGTTTATCCATTACTGACCATACAGCAGAGACACCACTAGCGAGTATATCACTGTGGGTGATCTTACTGCGGATAGTAGACTTCAGAGGTTCCGTGATACAGTGTAGGGCAACTTCCGCAGAGATGTCGTTGGGGAGTAAATGATGGTGACGGAGTAGATCACATACCGCAACGCGCCAAGGGAAGTAGGTACCAGTAGGGTTGCCAGTGAAGAGAAGGTGCTTAGGTATCTTGTCCGAGTCACCAACGATAGACTTCACAGTTCTTCTCACAATCTCGCACGGAGAGAGAGAAGATGACGTACGAGTGTGATTGGTACCGATAGCAGTGGAACCATATGCTGATGCCGAATTTGTTGCTGGCTGACCAAAGGCAGTGGATAACGGCGTGGCACTCGGGTTTGATGGATAGCTCACTGCGCTAGGCATAGTTGATGCATGGCGCATCTTGGACACCGTGGCTGAAATTTCCTTACGTAGATCTTGACGTCCAACAAAAGTTGGGCAACCGTCGATGTTGGCAGCTGCAGCGAGAAGAGACCACCGTAGCACCAGAGTCAGCCATTTGGAGTCTTCCTCCCCAGCAGAGTCTAGATAGACAAGCTCCTCGCTCAACCAGGCGTAGGAATTCTGCCAGAGGTCACAGAGCTCGAGGCCGCTTTGAACTGCGTGGCAATCTGATTTGAAGCGCTCGTTGTCTTTGAGCGTCTCCAGTAGTGCCTCACGAAAAGGGGTGAGGGCTTGTGAGTAGCCAGGACCGGTCTCAGTGTAGATCTTCTCCTCTAAGGCGAGCATGTTGGTGATGAGAGCCTTTCTCGGCACAGCCCCCAATGTTGTTTGGAGTTCACGTTCATCGTTGTCGCCACTAGAGCTACACAAGGCTGAGTCGGCCATAGGGAAATAGAAGATTAGTACAGAATACAAACCTGCATCAGTAGTGAGATTACGATATACGCTTGATGAATATACTTAGCAGCACTACTGAGCCTTGCCACGAGACCGTTACAAAGATACACGAAACGGTGAGGACAAGGCGAGAAATGATGTATCCAACGGAGCGATGATGATTGTCATCATTATCATTTACAGGACATTTGTCTTTCGTATCGTCTTAACTTATGAAAAAAGCTGCCTTGTTCTTTCTTTTGTTGTGCGATGTAGGTCGACAAAAGTCCACTTTATGTCGATAGTACATTGTAATATACACTGTCGTTTAATTCGCTTGTCTTCGAACGTTGATCTACGGTGCAAACGTTCGTACTCGTCTTCGTTGAGTTAGGCTACAATCTTGAACACTAGCAATCTTGCATTTCCCATGTATCGGGCGGGCGACATTTTCGTTTCGCACGACATGTGCTAGCTATTTCCGTTTCTTGTGGTCATTGATCTTACTTGAATTAGTCCTTGTTGAACGTCTGGGTTCTTTGTTCTCTATACTCCTGAATCAGGAGTCCTGATAGCTTCTGGTAGTTTGAATATCTCGTTTTATTGACGTATGTCTACTACTGAGTCTTCATACAAAAAGAAGCCTATGCTGGACAAGGAGCAATTGGAGGATTTAGGTAGTACTGGGCATGGTAAAAACATTTAGGTGGGTAATCTTGCTGAACTCGCCATATTATATTATTCTTGGCCATTTTTATTGCGGTGTCTGTGTATGCTTTAAACAGTATACGTGTGTCATAAGTTGGCATTATATGCCTCAGACATATGTTTCAGATGTTTTGCTTTAATTATCTGGCTGGTACATATTTCTTGTTTTGTATCATTTTTATTTCGGTGTCTCTCTATGCATAAAAGAATATAAGTTTGTCACAAGCTGCCATTATATGGCTGAGATATACATAGGTTGTACCTAATGAGTTTAAACGATCTGTTCAACAAATGACTGACATTTTGACGTTTCCTTCCTTTGCTTTGTACCTATCTTATTGAATTATCTAGCAATTACATGCCTAATGTGTCGTACGGTAACAATAATTGCTTGGGACTCCTATAAGGTTTTCTATCATCTTCAGTTCGGTGTCTGCTTCTGTGTACAACTTTATTCGTATGTCACAAGCGAGCATCGTATGCCCGAGACATATACACTATTTAGCAGGTTTTCTTGTGGTCGTATCGGTTGTTTCAATCAGACTATTCATATTATACGTTCACTCAATTATAACTTCACCTGTATTATATGTCCTATTACTCGCTCACCATGTTTGGAACACTGTGAATATGGCTAACATTTACATGGCTATTATGTCATTCGGTGGCATTATCTGCCTCAGACATATATCATATTTTTTATTATCTTCATTTCGGTGTTTATGCATATTTCAAACATTATCCGTATGTCATAAGCTGGCATTATATGCCCGAGACATTTACATTAAATGAGACTACCTACAGTATACCCGATTTTCATATGGATTACACTTAGACGTCTTCATATGTTATGTAGTTTTCTATATGCGTATAACACTGTTCATATGGTAAAAATTGTCATTCTATTCCTGGGAAGTTTAAAAAACTCTGTAACTTACTCAATATGATGTCCATCTAGGGTGAACTTTCATACGAGTATGTCTTAACTTTTAGCCAGTATGTTTTATTCATACTTTGGCTTCGTGCGTACATACTGTTTACACGTTGAATATCAATATGTACGTTATATAGTTAACGTCACTCTTCGTGCATAGTCAAAGACATACATTTAAAACCTTAGGTGATTCAATTTCTGACAATAATAAATCTATCGACTCTAGCACTCATGCAGTCTACGAGGGTTCGTCAAGTAATGTGGATGACAGCGTACTATCTGAGCCCAACACAAAGCCTCAGTCATCAAGTACTACGTTGATTTTAGCTTTTGCATACCGTTTTTCTTCTTAGAAACCTGGAAAAAGGTTTTTCGGGTAGTGGATGAAATAAAGAAAAGACAAAAAAGGGTTAAGAAGTTTCGTAAACAGAAAGTTACTCCTTTACGTACTATCTGTTACCTTCAATCATAGTTATTAAATTTTTACCTCTGTTCTTACATGTTGGTAGGACGTCAAAAAGCACGTGAAAAATATCTCAAGCTTCGTCGACGAATTCTTAAACCTAGGACTACAGGTAGTTAAATTTTGGTCAATTACCGTTGCCTCGTGATCTATGGTCATATAACGCAGATCATAATAAGCTGGATCAGTCAAATGCCGCGATATCGCCACAACAGGGTAAAAGTTCAACTATGGGTAAGTATTAGATCGTTTTTTGTTGGTTTTTTCTCAGATACAACAAATTTGTTCGATGTAGATGACTGTTTTCGTAACGTTTTGGATGATTCCCAAGTTGCGAGCAGTGAACCTAGTTTGTCTGAGGAAGAAGCTAAACGTTTAGATCAGCGTAAGGATTTTGGCGTTTTTTCCGGTAATGTTCCTTACTTGGCATTTTTCAGAGATACTACAAATAGCGTCTTCACAAGATAATGCGGATGCCAAAAATGTCGACATCGTCTCGCATACGTCTTTTAGACCAAGTGAAAGTTCTAATTACAAGTCTACAACTTATAATACAACAAATGGTAATATAGTTCGATTCTGATTTTTTCACGACTACGTTTTGTAGACAACGATCTTACCTCGGTTGGACAAGAGAGTAATACTCAGAACGAACTTTTACGTGGTAATTCATATTATACCTCTATTATTTGTACGTGTCCTTCGTTTTAGACGATGGTAGTTCGGCTTTTGGTGCTACGCAGGATGCTCCTTCACCTCGAAGATCCGACCGTAATATATATGGTTCAGATTGAGTGACCTGTACACTTTTTTAGGCGTTGATAATAGTGGTTAAGAAACATGAACAATCTGATATTCGAAAACCATCTTGGTGTTGATCCAGTCTGAAGTCATCCGCTATGACAGTTTCGAGGTTAGTTTCCAACGATGTAGTTGACGTTACTTGCGCTCCAAGTAATGATATTGGATGATATTCTAACGGTAGTATATATCAGGACCCGAGGTTTCGCTAAATACCCTCCGCCTCGTTGTTGTCGGCAGCTGTAGTTGAGTCGTCCGGAGCATGGTAATGGCGGGAAATTGTCCTTAGATACCGGTTTTTCCTAGCCTCCCAACTGTTGTGTTCACTGAGTTGCACGGCTGCCGAAAAAAAGTTATTATACGGGTTATAGTCGTAGTAACTGTTGTTGTGATCGGAATTCTTGTACAACCCGTTCCCCAACAGAGGAATCATTGTTAGTTTGAGACTCAAACTTTGAGTCCCTCTAGTCTCGTCGGCGTCTGTATTACAGACTCTATAAGATTGTTACGGTGGGAACAATGTAACAGTTCTCGAGAGAGAGCACAGCCTGTAATATCAGTATCCTTAATCTACCAAATCGCCAACAGTAGAACGACGGCCAGGCGAGAAGCTGTGATGGCTATGAGCATAGCGATCACACTGATCGCTCTGAGGAGACGGGCGTCACAATCCTTGTGATCGGGTTGGTCGTCAACACGCTGAGAAGAGTTACTCCAAGCAATGAGAAAACTCTGTCATGGCACTGTGCACCCGAGATAGAGAGATAAACGTAAGCTGGGACTCGCATTTCAGCCCATGAATTCGGCACTAGTGAGTCACTAGTGACCGACTATAGTAAGGGCGGCCCTTGAAGGACCGCCGATATGTTGGGTCGGAGTGACATGATGTCATTGACATCGAGCTGCTCGGGGCTCAGGGGTCCATTTCAATCATGATTTTCATGATTGAACACTCGAGTCAAATGTACGAAATGGTCCATTTCTCCATTTCAAATGGAGGAAGATATGAACTGCAAGTTTCGTACACTGGAGATGCCCCGTATAACGTGTACACCCGCATACAGTTTTATGCCTAGTGTACAACGTGAATTGGGCCAGGTGAAATTCACTTAGTGAATATAGATTTCACACTTCGCTAAAAACCGCCAGTGAAAATCGCCATTGCGTGTAAAACGCGTAATTGTTTTCGCGTGAAATTCGTGAAATACGAAGTGTAAAACCCGTTCTTTGCTACACATGCGAGTAACATAGCGGGAAGATCATTCGGCTTCCTGAAAAGCTTCGATATTCCAAACATAAAGTGCAGTAGACTCCCGGAGGCAGGAGTGTCCGGCGGCGCAATGACTTGCCACCGAGACTCCAGCGTGCTTGAGGCGCAAGCCCTAAGCTAATTAATTCTGATTATACTGAGAACGAGCAAACTGGAGTTTGAGTGGCCTATTAGGATATGCTGAGTCGAATGAGTGATAGGTTGCCCGCAAGACCAAAGGCTGACTCACCAAAGGAAGCCTTGCTTGGGAATATTTGACGGGTGACTAATCCACGTACTACACTGGAGTGAACTTCACTTGACGTGGGTCAGTGCTTCACTCAGTGAAGCACAAGGATCAAGATCTACGCGGAGTTCGTGAAGTTTATGGGAATTCCGCGTAGTGAATCACTACGCGAGATTCACTACTAGTAAAAAGTGAGATGTATATTTGACTACTGTTTTACTCTTCGCGGGTGCATCTTCGACCCCTGCTTTTGCGAAGTGAACAGATAGATAGACTGACAGACGGGCAGACAGCTGAGTGTAGCTCACGTGTGCATACATCAAACGATCGATCACATGGGACGCTGTTACAGGGCCCAGAGTTTTTCGTGAATCCTCTAGAAGATTGTTTTTGGCATTCCTTCCAACCTGGTCGATTGAAGCTGCAGTACTATCTGATACTCGTATCAACCTCTGGGATTGTGCTGTCAGAGTTACTAGCATCGACCACCTTGAGTATCAAGCGACGACTCGATCATGACTTCGAGTCGAAGTCTTCGACTGGATCCGTCCACACGTCACTCAGGTGCACGCGTGTGAAATACGCCGTATATTAGACCCCAAAACATTTGAGGACTCTTTACGCTATGCTCTCACCTAGAGCTGGAAGTTAGCCTTCGCATCTCACATATTTTCTACCAACAATGGCCGGTCGCATCGCCTTCCTGCATATATTCTGTTTCAGTGTCGCCTTAGCTGACGTCAAGATCCAGAGGTAGGCCGTGTGGGAAGAGGTGGACTAGTATGCATACCTTTCAGAGCAAATGCCATTTCGACAGCCGACTCCGTAGACGTAGCCGAACAACGTGAGTGGCTGTTCGATACAACGGTGCATGCTCTCCATTGTAGTTGGAGGCCAATATGAAAAGCCCATCGGTCAGGGTGACTGTTACTTATCCGGTTCTAATCTGGTTGGATGCAAGTGCAATACCGACGATGTGCTCTTCTATGCAGTGAGCTTGTTCACACTCAGAGTCTCGACCGAGCTCATCTTTCTCAGGATGAATTTGCGGTGGTCAAAGGTGTGATGTGTACGACGAAGTGCACTAATGCGACCACCTGTCCGAAACCTCCTACTAAGTGGGCCCAGTGCCAACCATACGGAGGATGCTCTATTGCGTGCAATCTCGACACGGTAACGGAGTCTGCTCCGATGGTGACATGAAATTCAACGTTCCCTCAGGACTGCCCTGCAGGAGCTGTGTGTCAACTGATCGAAGAACCCCGAGGCAAACTTTGTTTGTTCCCTAACTGACTTGAAGTCAGTTAGAGCTTCTAGCTTAGAAGAAGTCAGTGACTTCTTCAGTCAAATCACTTTTCATGATGAGTATTTCACTTGGAGATTATCTCCCATTTCTGGTAGATGGATTATTCTCGGGGCGATTCAATTTTTCTTTTCAACTCACCCGATGAAGCTAGTCGACTCTCCAGCGACGAACTTGTGTCGAGTTACTCTCTATCCACCATCAATGTGTATTACTTCATATCAGGACAGGATAGTAGATCACGAGCTGTAAACATCGTTCATCGCCTCGGTTGCCATCCCCTTGGACATCTCTCATCATGGTATGATAACACATACCATACTGTGAGAAGAATCTCAGAAATGATTCACCACTACACACTGTATATCCCATCGGCTATGCCAACTCCGCATTTTGCATTGGCCAAAACCAACAGAAAATCCCTCAACTGTGGCAAGTGGAATAAGAAAAATCGTCTTAGGAAATTGATGATTCTTCGCTCGACAACGAACGCACAAGATGATATGATCGTACCGATAGCCCAGCCATCGAAACTTCGTGTACATCAGTCTTCTACGGTCGAGGTTGCCCGGTATCTTGGTGCGTGTGAAGAATTCGCTCATCGTCCTAATTGAGCTCAGTATCGATCTCCTCGTAAAAGACCGATACTGGCTCCAACTATGACACTACGGCTTGTTGCGTTCGATCAACTGAAGGTCGTCGACTCCCAGAGATATTTTCCCGAAATTGACAGTTCGATCCATCAAAAGCATAGCTCCTTATACTCTTTCCCCCACGCTGCCAATCATAGCATATCAGTAGATCCGGATCCATTCAAAGAGTCAAACTCAACTCCCAACAACTACATTTAATAGTCTCCTTGCATACATCAGGAACAGTAACCTCGACTAGGTAAACATAAACAATGATAAATTTTCAACACCTGAAAAACTGCTAAGCATTAGCTTGCTGAGAACTCTCTTCTTCAACCGAATCTTCGCCAGCGTCATCACTATCAGGGAAGCACTCCCAAGAGCCGATCCTAGCCGGATTGTAACAACACAGCTGTCCCGAACCTAATACACCACCATCGTTCAATAGTACCGCAAGGGAAGTCAAAAGCATACGATAGTTAAACGAAGCTGATGACTGTGAAACCAGGAAAGTGAGATGTTCAGCATTAACCCACCGTTATAGCGCATTCCTATCATAGTGTTGCTGGCGTTCTTCAAGACTCGATCTGTGAGGCCAAGGAGATTCAACGACTCCTCCGTGAGCTGGTAATGACCTTCTTCATCTCGTACCATCACCTATCGTTCAAGCGGAGCGAAGCGTCCCATGTTTACCATTTTCAGCTTTTGTCTTACAACAACATCGCAATTATGAGGATTGTAGGTTTCCTCGAAAAGGTCAACCGTCCAGTTGAACCAACGCATGAGAAAAATACGAAGAGTTACTCCGTGAGTAACTATAACCTACACAAGATACCCATGAAACGGTAAGATACTTTTCATGCCCATTTTAGTACCACGTCAGAATCTTCGGTATAACACAAATGGCCAGCAAATACATCACTGCGAGTTCGTGGTCGAGGGGCTCGTCTGAGGGGAATTTCTCAAAAGATGGTATGCGTAAGCCATTACGATCTCCTCCGTGCCGGATCGCTCCAATGCCGCTTCATAGACTCCAAAAACGTCGTCACTCGATCGTAGACATCAGCGCCAGATTCACCTATAGGAGTTCACCGAGAAGTGGTATCACATTTGCACGCATGCACAACTCACCGTGAGGAAAGCGGTAGAAGAAACGACCGAATCTCTCCCTTTCTTGTTTGCACTTCAGCATTTCCGTAGGACATTGAAAATTACCAAAATCTTGTTCCCTGATTCGCGGCTCTGACCGAACCGAGACTACCCTGTCCAATCCAATAGTCTTCGCGATTTCCTCGTACGTCTGAGGGGTGAATGACATCAATGGAGCTTCACCCGTGATATGAAAAAACACATTTCACACTTCATATAGTACGTGATATGGGACGACTCGTCTAAGGTGATTCGCTAAGTGTTTCCAATTCGCTTCATATCACGTTTTTCCACTGAGTATTACGCCACTTCACGTAAGGCGGACGGAGCTCTAATAAGCACCGTTGGGTCTTTCATTTCTCGCCTGTCCTCACCGTTTCGTCCACCATTGCAACCGAGTAATATATCGTTGAATTGTATCACATAAGTCACTAAACTTCAATTTTCCGAAGCCCGACTCAGCCTCACACACTTCGCTCCAACCAGACGGAGTCCCAACGCTCCCTACCTCGACTGTCCGTCTATACGGACTCACATAGAAGACCGCTCGCTTCACCAGCTTCTTGATTTGCTCTCCAGCACATCGTGCTTCCAGCCGACCTTCTCCTGTAAGCGGCACCTTCCAATCTGGAATCTGACTGTACCTGACTATCCCTATTCGATACTATATAGCAATAGCATATAGTAAATGTAGTGCGAGATCTATATTGTGAATATATATATAGATGCTTTGAAGCTCGGTCGATAACAGAAAACCTCCCACGTCCCATCATCTTTTATAAAATTCCACAAACGAAAAACCTTCGCCATTGACGAACTTGTAAGTCAACTACAACATACTTTTCCATGAACTCCTCCGTAGGATCAATCATAGCGTATGACGATAGAAACAAGTCAATATTTAATCTCAGCCTAGTGCGCTCAGTCGTACCGACACTATACTTAGTTGAGAGATCTACACCTTTTTCACCTCAAGTTGAAATGATAGAACCATAATTTCTACCCCCTACCAGCCAACGTCAACTCAGAATTTGGAAAGCTCTACTCGAAGATATTTGATTCCGATTTCAATAACAATGAACAACTCCCACGTAGATCCAAAAAGGCCGTAAGCCGCCATCTAAACTTAAATAAGGAAACCCGAAAATTCCTAATTCACGTTTGATCATTAGAACTTGAGGTGAAAATGGCAGTAGAGACCAAGAGAGCCGCCCTACTGTACTACGTATGTTCGTCTATATTCCCCATACTCTCTCCGTGGCGAACCTGCACTAGCATGAGGTCACCCCGCCGACAGAGGACGACTTGTTCTTACCAGGATGATTCGACGAGGTCTAAAACCTGATGCTTGACTCGAACGTGGTCGCCGCCGATTGAACTTGCTGTACGACGGTAGTGCAGGACCTGACGAAGAAGTTGCTCCTAAACGACGTCATAGAGCTGCTCGACTTGCGATGCAATGTTGATATACGCACTAGCTCAAACGACTTGGGACTACACTGCGTGCCAAAATGAGCGTAATTTTCGAAAATTAATGAAAATCGATATGAAACTTGGCAGATACAATGTAAACATTGATATGAACATGTACTGTGAGAAACGTAATCGTTCAAATCTATGATGGAGAGAAACTATCCATTATGTCATCTGCACTCCTTCAGTTTCCATTTATTACTCGACAAGCCTTCATCCGCACTACTGCTAACCTCCCCATCCAACTCGAGAGGAGACGGGAACGCATCTGTTGAGCTCACAGGCGAACCTTCTTCGTATCCGGCCAAGGCAACCTCAAGATTCGTAGGAGGTCGCAGTTCGGGCGAATGGAGATCTCTAGGCATTTAGAACAACGACGACTTATAAATTCCATACCACAATTTTATCATCAAACCGAACATGTAAGCCTTCGAAAGTCGCCAGAAGTTACAAAAAGACCAATATACCCGTTCCCACCTGAATTCGAGTAAAAATCAACTCACTGTGAGTAATGAAACACGTTTGAAAATTGGGTTAAAACGATTATACAAAAACTACACGAGGATTTCCCTCACAGAAAGCGCCTCGGGATCTGTTATTTTAGCGGCGTCAAACCGGATCCTCCCCCAAAGCAGACCACTCCTCGGCGACATCACAGCCGTATAGATAGTACCATCATTCAACACGGGCTTCTCCGAGATGCAGTCAAGTACCACGGCAAAGGTGCCTACCTCTCCCTCCTTCTGGCCGTGTCTAGCAATGCACTCTTCAGCCTTCGTTCTTCTGGGATCAGACGGAGGGTCCGGTAGCCAATTGTCATGGTTGGTCTCCACCACATACCATCCTTCTCCCAACTCTTGGACGGGCACAACCACACTGCTATCGTTACGAGTTAAGATAGATCCCTCCTTCTCTCCTTGACCAGCAACTGCAATGTACACAGAAGCCGCAAAAGGGACCTCTCTGAGGAACTGTACAGCGCCTTTATAATCTCGTACCCCTTGAGCAAACATCATCTCTCTGAACATGAAACTTTGCGGAACCGCGCCATGACTGATTCTCCTCAAAATCTCCTCTTTCGGCTCGTTCACAGACCTCCAATTTTCCTGCATGGACAAACCGTCGGTAGTAACCGCAGTTACCATTCCTCCAGCAAACCAGTAAAAATCAATAGTCTCCACATCAGCGACTCCAGGCGCTATACTCTTGTACTTGAGACTGAGAGTAACCCTTCTGGCGTAATCAGGAGCAGCTTGGTCCATATTGCGGCCGTGCACGACATGACCATTCTCATCAGAAACCAACAACGCAGTACAATCGTGGTGAACCGTAGGAGCCTCGCTAAAATGTCCGATTTCATGACTATAGGCCCAGGCGGCCAGATAGGGATAGCTGACGTAGTGACCATTAGCAGCAAATTCCTCAGAGATGCCCCTCAGCTCGAGAGCTTGTACAGGGAAGTGCTTTTCGAGAGCGTTCATGAACACGTCATAGTCGTTGTCAGATAGGCGGTCGAAAGTGGTTGTGTTCCACTGAGCAAAAAGTGGACGGAAACTCTCATCGAAAGGCCACGACTTCAACGCGACTCTGACTGCAGGTTTGAAGTGCTCGGAAGGGCGTTTAGAGAGATCAACTTCAGCGTAGGGAGCCTTGGTGGGAATGTGGTCCTGAGCGATAGCATAGGGTAGAAGTATGTAGAGAAGAAGGGGAGAAAACATTATGATGAAGAAAACTGGATGATGGGCATGTTTCATAGGAGCAAATTGCGCCTTAAACTAAAGTAACGCCTTAAGTATACCTTAAGTATACCTTAAGTAACTCCTTAAGTTGCTCCTATATTTAAGGCGCCTTAAATTAAGTATCCTTGTGAAACAGGCCCAATGACCGAATGAATGCCAGCAACGGTCCGGACGTGGACCGTATGTGGACATGTTTTGTATCTTTAAGGCTGCAACCTAAGATACGAAGAATCCTTAGATGCATCGTAGAAGGGAGATACCGTCACGCGCCACAAACTTCCACCATACTTCCTAGCTGTGATCTCTGCGAGATCACCTACATGTCATAGAGGGCTAGGCTAGAAGGATGCTGACAAGGCGAATACGCGTAGAAAATTCTCCGTCACGCGCCACAAAATTATCAAGTTCGTCGGAAGTTAGCTAGATTGTAATAATTTACTCGTTGTAATGGCATCAGAAGACCTCCGTACACTTCCTGAGGCAGAGCGCTCGGCCCTGGCCGTTAAGGGCCCTACCTTTATTTTCGACGGCGTTTGTAATCTGTGCAACACCGCATTGAGATTTGTAAGCTGCTATACGCGAGGAGAAAGTGATGGTCCCTGTTGTTTAGGTCAATGATCATGTACGGCCCGACGCTGATGTGAAGTATATGTGGACAAACCATCCTGACACATTGAAGGTTTTGGAGAAGTACCACATGGGTCTGCTTCGGACCTACTTTGTATCTTACTCGACCAACCTCATAGATACGACGTGAACGAGGAAGATATCAACAAGAGCTGGGGTTACCTCAAAGACGGTCAGCTGTACCGTGGTTCCACCGCGTGGCTCATGGGCCTTCGTGAACTCACTGCTCCGTGGTGCTGGGCATACTACCTCATCCACGTCCCTGAGGTTATCAGGGAGTTCGTGTGAGTCAACTCTGTCGAATCGCCATAGCAGTATGTGTCCTTTCTCAGGTACAATTTAGTAGCAGCAAATCGTTATCGATGGTTTGGCCGAAGTGATCAGTGTCACGTTGTGGAGAAGTCTATGTTGCATCGGTTCCTCCACACTACCAGTATGCCTTCCAAAACTACCAAGGCTGAATAATAGTGCTATCCCTGTGTGTCAACACTGTTAACTCAACAGTGTCCGTCGTTTCCTCATAATTTCTATGGAGAGGTCCTTTTGAGTTTCGAGTACTAAATTTAATGCGATGAACCTGAGCTTCCTTCGACAACAGAATTCTATATTTTAGTGGATCACTTACGCAGGTGTTCTATGAGATGTTAAGCATGGTCATGCAATAGCAAAAGCCCAGCCTACGAGAGTTCTTGAGTCGTGTGGGCTAAACCGTTCTGGACCGTTCGATTGACTCTGGTGGATTCCAATGCAACTCTATCCACTATGATTAGACCACTCGGAAGTCTATTTGCCAAGAGATTTTCTTTTAAGATTTCGCATGCATGAGTGGGGACATTAATTTTTTGCTCTCGGGCTTACATAAGTGCAGCGTATTAGCAAACAAGGAGGTCAGCTTAACGATGTGGTATGAACGATGATCATAGCTGCATGATCGGGGAGATGAATTTTGCCGATGGGGAAATTAGTCTCGGAAGACCTTTTTATGCGTTAGATGCGCATTGCGGTTCCATGCAGTTCTGGGTAAGCGCAGGTCAGCCATCCACTACAAACGAAAATGTCAACCGACAGGGCCTGTTCGTAGTTGAATCATGTCATCGTCCCTACATTCCTAGGATCTACGGATATTTTTAAATTGTTTGGAGTTACCACTGTCGGATTAGACAGGATTCGCTCGCTCGCGACTGTAGAACTCGATTTCATGATAGTATGAATATGACTGAAGCTCTACTTTCGCTCTCAGGACTCCGGCTATCGATCGCTACTCATTTGAATGTACGCATAAACACGTGAAGGGTAAGATGGAGGCGTGTCACCACCTCTGCGCATGCGTGCAGTTTATGGGCTATTCTCAATCTCCTCATCGGCAGTAGTTGGACTGCAACCGTTCACTCTGTTCGAGGGCCAGATATGCTATCTTGGGACAGGTGTTTATTCTCACTGGCAATTCGCATGTTGCTTTGTCATCTTGAGATGGCATATCTGCTCTACGAGCCAAATTGTAGATATTTGACCCGCCTGTAGATATTTGATTGTAGTCATACCTTGGGGTAGTGGCATAACTGCCCCGCCTGTAGATATTTGATTGTAGTCATACCTTGGAGTAGTGGCATAACTGCCCCGCCTGTAGATATTTGATTGTAGTCATACCTTGGAGTAGTGGCATAACTGCCCCGCCTGTAGATATTTGATTGTAGTCATACCTTGGAGTAGTGGCATAGCCACCCCGCCTCAAGATATTCATTGTACTAGAGTATATCTCGGGGTAGTGGCATAGCCTCCCCGCCTCTAGATATTCATTGTACTAGAGTATATCTCGGGGTAGTGGCATAGCCGCCCCGCCTCTAGATATTCATTGTACTAGAGTATATCTCGGGGTAGTGGCATAGCCGCCCCGCCTCTAGATATTCATTGTACTAGAGTATATCTCGGGGTAGTGGCATAGCCGCCCCGCCTCTAGATATTCATTGTACTAGAGTATATCTCGGGGTAGCGGCATAGCCGCCCCGCCTCTAGATGTCGATTGCACTAAAGCACGTCTTGGGGTGGTGGTATAGCCGTACTCTCCGAGAATATTGATTTCACTAAGGCACATATCAGGGCGGTGGCATAGCGGCCCCGCCTCACAAAGTTGCTGTTTCTAAGGCTTTCGAAAGGTATACTGGGATTTGATCAACTATCGTTCGACAGTCTATGAGTATCTGTGGGTATTAGCTGTAAGAGTTACGCAAGTTAGGTTTTTCCCTTTTTTACTAGTAGTTATGGCTGGTATTGCTGGGAAGACAAAGAAGGATCATGTTTACATGTAAAGAGCTGTGATCGGACGAGGGAGTGATGGGATTACGTTTACCTAGGTATAAGTTCAGCAACCAAGGATCCGGCTCGTCTCCAACGATTAGCCACTTCTGTGCGAAACTTGAAGTGTGGCTCAAGTTAGCGGGACTCCCGTATACACCGATCGACACAGAAATGCCTGCTGGGCCTTACGGTGAGTTGTGATGGGTCCGAGGAGGCGGAATTCATTCCCCCGTTATGACTCATGGCTTTTTCATTATATCGGATCATAGCCGCTATGACTATCGTTTCATCGCAGGAAACGAATACCGCATTATTGGTCGATCATTATCGGGTCGATTTATACGAATATACATGGTCTTACGGTCGTATATACGTGCAGTCGACTGAAATGATTATGACATCGGCAAAATGCTTAATCAGTATAGTCGAACACCGGACTGAGCCCTCTGGATGATCTAAAATGGATTCCCAGTCACATTACTTGCTGTGATAATTCAACGTGTGGCTGAGCTCATCACTCACCCGGAATGTACATATCTTGGAGCTTTCATCTCGATCTATCACTCAAACCGCTATTCTACGACCACGACTGGTGGTATGTACGCTTTTTCTAATCTATATGTGGTGATTTCAGCTCGTAACCCTCCATAGATGGGCAAGACATTCACCGTTTGCTTCAGGCAAGCTCCCTTATATCGACCTGAACGGTGAACAGTTTGGCGACACCTCCATCATCATCGACATGCTCTCGTCCAAATTCAAGAAAAATCTAGATAGTGGTCTCAGTGATCACCAGAAGGGTATCAGCAACGCAGTAAAAAGAATGTTCGAGGAGCACACATTCTTTCTCTGTGTTAACGACAGATGGTTTAACTATCCCGACCTCTTTAGTCAGTACCTTGGCACGATTCAGACATATCCAGTATTCCTGAGGCCACTCGTAAAGATGATCGCGAAAAGGCGACTCCTCGGTGCAACTTATGCGCAGGGCATTGGTCGATTGCCCGAGGAAGAAAGGAAAAATAGGCTAAGTCAAGACATCTCGGGGTTATCGAAGATCTTAGGTGAGAAGAAATACATATTGTCCGACGATAAGCCGACTAGCGTCGACGCCACAGTGTTCGGGTTCATGTGGGCTGAGCTCGGTGTTGACTCCGAGTACGAGAAGGTCAATGCGTTCTGTCAAGAGTGCAAGAAGTACGACAACCTGATGGGCTACTATGAGAGGATGGTGAAGCTTATGGAAGACGCAAAATAGCTGCGCCGTTTTGCTCGTCCAAATAATATTATTCTCGCCAAGGCTGGCGTTCAAGTATTAACGTTACCCGGCTGACTTTATCAAACTTTTTCGGCATCACTCTCCTTGCGTTTGTCACAGTGACATGTTCACCGGAGTATCATGTCGGAGTCTTACGCACATGTCTTAGGTTATGCATCGAATAGAATCACAGTAGAGGTGTGCCATCGATTGAGTCTATTGTAGAGACCATCAGCCTCCTTCGATCCAATGTGTTGACTTTTAAGGGACTATTTCACTGCCCGGCAGTGCCATGACTATCGTGAGATATGCTTCAGTACAATCAATTCTAATTGCCGGGGCGGCTATGCCCCTGCCCTAAGATATGCCTTAGTACAACCAACTCGAATTGCCGGGGCGGCTATGCCCCTGCCCTATGAGATATGCCTTAGTACAACCAACTCGCAAAATTGCCGGGGCGGCTATGCCCCTGCCCTAAGATATGCCTTAGTACAATCAACTCGAACGTTGCCGGGGCGGCTTTATGCCCCTGCCCTAAGATATGCCTTAGTACAATCAACTCGAATCATGCCGGGGCGGCTATGCCCCTGCCCTAAGATATGCCTTAGTACAATCAACTCGAATTGCCATCGGGGCGGCTATGCCCCTGCCCTAAGATATGCCTTAGTACAATCAACTCGAATTGTCGGGGCCCGGCTATGCCATGACTGCCCTAAGATATGCCTTAGTACAATCAACTCGTATTGTCGGGGCGGCTATGCCCCTGCCCTAAGATATGCTTCAGTACAATCAACTCGTATTGTCAGGGCGGCTATGCCCCTGCCCTAAGATATGCCTTAGTACAATCAACTCGTATTGTCGGGGCGGCTATGCCCCTGCCCTAAGATATTCCTTAGTACAATCAATTCCAATTGTCGGGGCGGCTCTGCCCCTGCCCTAAGATATGCCTTAGTACGATGGAGTTTCATCCGTGATATGGAAAACACTAGTGGAAAACATATTTCACGACTACTGCATACCACCGAGAATATCGCGGTTTTCACGGAGTTTTACGCCACTTCACGTGAAATGGGCGAAACTCCAATAAACTCCAATTGATCCCAATTCAAGGCTCGATGTTGAGGTGGATACTGAAGAGTCTAGGTTTACTGAAAGTTTTGCTGCACAATAGTATCGTAAATGGACGTGCTCTTTTTGTGAAGTGTGTGAATTTTCATTGATGATCAACCGGAGTGCAGTGACATCGGCTTTCCTAGTGCTTCTGTCCGTCTGGGCTGTTTTCATCCTGGTTTCTGAGGAGAACTGTGGTGATCATCTGCTCCCCATTTTACATCCACTATACTTGGATGCATCTTCATCACATAGTCTGTATAAGACTAGCTCTGGCCGATCAGCGAACAGAAGTGAGCGAGGACTATACTCGCGTGACGAGAGTCTCGTCTCAGCATCGCCTCGCGGATCAGACCTCTCACGTAGTCGATTGATCAAAGTGGGGACCGCTGACCAGGTTGCCGCAAAGCCTCCCAAAACGAAGCCACGGACAAAAAAGAAGAAAGGCTTTTGGGACAACGATGATGATATCAATGCCATCACCGAAAGTGCGGCCTCTTGCTTGCTGCGCAAGCCTTGTGGTGCAAACCAGCGAATGAGCTCAGATACGTCTTATGACCTGATCAAATTAGACTACGCGTTTGACTATCTATCAGAGCACGAGATTGAGCCTTATCCAGCAGAACGACTGAGTGACCTTAATTGGCCTGGCGAGGTTCCCTTCGTCGAGGAGGAAATAACGTCCTATTGTGCATGCATGCAAAATAAGAGAATCTTGATAGCCGGCGACTCGCTACTTCGAGGGGTTTACTCTGCTGCTGTGGAGTTTTTGAGGAACGATCGACACTATTGTGACGATTCTTCGACACCCAAGGCTGAGAGATCGAAATGCTCTGGTGATGGGAAGTATTGGCATGATGTTCGCTCTGATGAGGCCATAGGGAAAGACAGGCGACGGTGTGAAAAGGTTATGAAGAATGAAGGGTCACCATGTTATAGTGGGCGAGTGGACGGGCTCTGTGGAGGTGTCGAGGGAACCGATTAATCGCCGATGAATTCGTTTCTCTAGCTCAGGCAATGCCTCTCTGTTTTTTTCTTGGCAACCCAACAAGAGGTTCGGCAACAACTTCAGAAAGTATCTCGAGAGCGTCTTTGCTCGAGATGGTGAGGTTAGTGCGCAATGCACGGCTGAGCTAGTTGGTGAGAGCAGGTCACGGCTTTGATTGGATCATCGCGGGTATGGGCTTCCATGAGCTGGCTAGAATTCTCCGCATGAAAGGAGGCTGCTCGGATGCCACTTGCCGCTTCAGGAAGATTCCTGAGGGCTTTGGCAACCTTTACCGGCAATTTGTAACAAGGGCCCCCGGTTCGATTCCTGGTGACTGGATTTCTTCCAAGCTGTCATCAGTACCGCTATCAGACAGCACCTGATAGGTACGAGATTTTCACAGCTCATTCTTACGAAGCTATTCGTCCCTCGGTGGGCTCTGGGTAGGGATGTACGCCCGTAACACTGCTATGGCCCTTCCAGACTTCCAGGACCAGTCCAATGCCTATGTACGCAGCTCTTGCGACACGATACCGTTCCCCTTTGTCGCGTTCAGGTCTTGTGGCTGAATTCACTCGCTCGAGTGGAGACGTCGAAGGCTATGAATGCAGCGTTCCTCGATATTTATAACCTGACACTGCATGAGCCTTTCCGCAGCTACACTGGAGACGGAGTGATTGTTTTCTCCTCCTCTCACTGCCTCGCCTCTTTCATATGCAGGTGCACTTCCTACGACCAGTTTCCCTAGCGATTTTCCACAGTGCAATTAAGCCTATGTGTCCTTCAGTGGAACTGCCGCCACGTTTTGAGTCATCGCATGTTGGCATGTATTCTTGAGTGCCGTGTCTCCAGTCAGAGTCGCCTTGTGCATGGCTATGGACTCTCTGTATGGCGGGTGTCCCCATTGCACAACCGTCCTCAGCGCAATAGACTTTTTCACCTCTTGTGGCCGGCCATGATCGTGTTTCTCTCAGCTGGTATGTAGCGAGCTCTAGCGATGCTTATGGCTTTGATATTTTTTATTTCATTTCCCGCTTCAAACGTGGTTGTTTTTGGCTCTGAAAGCGATTCGTCACTCGATGGAGTCTCATTCAGTGGACAATGCAGATCCATACTCAGGGTTTTCCAACTAGGAAGTTTGTGGACAGTCTTCAGTGGACTGTGGAATGCTCAGCAGTTCAATCTCTAGGACCTGCTTAGCGATCTTATGGACAACCCTACATCCGCAGGGGGAAGACCCATTCTAGTGTAGCCGTGCTGTTGCGTATTGATCTTCGAGTCTCCGCATATGCATGGTTCCTTCCCTGGCAACTGTTTGAATGCAAGGCCAATCCAATATTCCTTTTGAACCTGCTTCTTGGCGTTGTAGTTGTCTCGTGAATTAAATTGAATGCTTCTCTTGTCGCCCTTCCGATGCGTTGGATAAAACATTCAAGTTCTTGTCAGGCTCAGTTGTTGGTCACAAGCGTCGAATAGTTGAAGTGACGAGCTTCCCTGAATCACAGACCCTGATCAATCCGATTCCATTCGGTCTCATACGAATTGTTATCCTAGCACTCCATACATGCTTAAGATGTTGAGGTATGTTCACATTCTGTTATCAGGAACAGACCTGCTGATTACGTTTTAAAGGAGACGGAATTTGTGTCGATGCGCATGCGTGCAGATCTCTCGCTGTAGCCGACCTTTCTTTTCGTTTCTCGTGGTGAAGTAGACGTTCAAATTTGTTGCCTCAGACAGTCTGAGTCAGACTAGGAACCTACACTTGTACCAGTTTCTTCCCTGTGGTGATAACTATGAAACTTCCGTTCGTTCTTTGCGTAGCCTCTGTGGCTCTATCATCGCTGTCATTTTCTGGTTGTTCTTCGGGAGGCTCCTCTTCGACGACCTCTGAGCCTCCTCGAAGTCGGCCAACTCCACCCACCACTATCCCTCGTTCGAGCCCAACTCCCTTGGTAGCGAGCGCTATCTCGTCTGCTGGCCCCATGGTGGGCGTAATGGTCCACAGCGACCTGTCCCGTCAGCAGCCCATTATACAGGACGTTGAGGTTTTCTACGGTATACCGTTTGCCGAACCGCCCATCGGTGATTTGCGGTTCCGTGCACCACATAAGTTAAATGAGACGTGGACATCCACTAGATTGATGGACACCAAGAAGAGTCATTGCCTTGATAAGATGGGTACTGGTGCTGAAGATTGCCTCTATTTGAATGTGTTCCGTCCGGCCAATACCACACCCAGCTCGAATCTTCCAGTTATGGCCTGGATTTTCGGAGGTGGTTTTGTCGACGGCGACGCCGCTGACCCTAGGTATGATGGTACCGCCCTGGCCTCCGAACATAATGTCGTAGTTGTCACTTTCAACTACAGACTAGGAAACTTTGGATATTTGGCTTCCGAATCTTCCTTGGAGGAGGAGGGAACGACCGGCAACTGGGGCCAAATGGACCAGCAGATGGCGCTCAAGTGGATACAGAATAATATCGGTGCTTTTGGTGGCGACAAGGATAGGGTTATGCTCTTTGGCGAATCTGCTGGAGCCTTCAGCGTTGTCTGGCATATAGCTGCACCTAGTAGTGCTGGTTTATTCCACTCCGCTGTACTCGAATCGAGTACCAGTCATACCGACATATTCTTCCAACAGCCGCAGGATGCTTATCGCTATTATAACTGGGTGGCAAAAGAACTCGTTGGATGCAAAGACGCGAACGATATCGAATGCTTGCGGAAAGCTGACGCCTCCAAGTTCATTTTGCCATCAGATATCCGTTTTGATGCTGTCAAGGCTCCCGATTGGGGCTCACCGATTTTCCCTATGATGCCGGTTGGCCCATGTATCGATGGGTCCATCCTTCTTGACACCCCCCTCAACGTTGTCAAAGCTGGTAAGCATAACAAGGTTCCAACTATTGTTGGTGTGAATCGCGACGAAGGCACTGGCTTTGTTGCTGGTATGTCGGGGGTCATGCCGAACATGCCCAAGCAACCAACTATGGCAGATGTCCGCACCATACTCTTCTACGTCCTTCAAAATGATACTGTGGTCGATGAAGCTCTCGAGAGGTATGCATTGAACAACTACGACGACGTCTACGGTGAAGTGAACCAGGGTTTCGAGTTGGCCTCCGAGATGATACGGGATGCCGTCTTTCACTGTCCGAGTCGTGCGTTGGCTAAGGCTCTCAGCGAACAAGGTGGTGATGCGTATATGTATCTATTCAACATGAATCCGATATTTCCCAAGTGGATCAAGGATATCAACACTGGCAATAAACCTTTGTTCGGTTTCGGCAACTTCACCCCTGAGCAAATGGGAACATTCCATTCTTCTGAGATCCCCTTCGTCTTCAAGCGTTTTGAACAACGCAGTATGAGTCTCCTCGATATCGATATGTATCAGGCTTATATGGGCCATCCTCCACGTGTGCCAGGCGATTCCTATCATCAAGTGTCCGACCAGATTTCATGCATGTGGGCCAATATGGCGTACAGCGGTATGCCGGTCGGTGGGCAGGCTGTGTGTCCATCGAATCCACAGCTTCCCGAATGGGGTCCTTATATGGCCAATGCCAGTAGTCCTCTGGGCCAATACCTCCATCTTGGAAGGTCTGCCGCGATGATGCCTGTGAAGCAGACAGCGTACTATCCTGTCTCAGAGTTCGTCAGCGCCGAGAAGTGCGAATTTTGGGACGCGCACAACTTTGTCTTTCACAATCTGCGAGCTGATCTTTCCGAACCATCCACCTCGACCATCATTGTTTGATTTTCAAGCATTGAAACGTTTCCTTGTATCAGTAATTGTGCTTGCGCGCTGCGCAGCTGAAAGTCTATCACTTCCTCGGTAACTTCGTTTGTCCCCTTCTTTCTTTTGGCATGTTTCTATTGCCTTACCGTTTGTCTTTCTTACCACATACTACATCCATACTGAGTCTTGTGTTGCGTCAGTTATCAGTTCATAACTTGGCAAAGCTGTTTGGCCGATCGCTTTGTAATGCACCAGAAGCCTTGCACGTGGGAAACTTGAACATTGGTATCTGGCAATGTGACGGATGTCACAAATTCGCTGAGTTTCGGTCCATGATCCACTGCATTGAACATATCATGCTTAGGCGACTTCACCTCTTCGCGACTAGTGGCATAGCTGCCCCATTTCAATACGGTATATCTTGGAATGGCATACCCACCCCACTCAGAAAATTGATTATACTAAGACGTATCTGGGAGTGGCATAACTGCCCCATGCCGGGAAATGATCGAAATAAGGCCTAATTTTTAACGTGGCATAGCCACCTCTCTCAGAGAAGTTCACTTTACCAAGGCGTATTTTGGAGTGGCATGGCCACCCCGGTTGGAGAAAGTGAATGCACTGAGGTATGTCTCAGCGTGGCATAACTGCCCCACGTGGAAAAAATTATTGAACTAAGACGTGTATCGAAATGGCATAACTGCCCCACCCGACTAAATTTAAATCTGTCTTTAGAGGTGCAGATTTACGCTAGTAGGACACCGCCAGTGAATCCTCCGTGTAATCGTAGCTAAGCTAGAGCAGTAGCTAAATGTGCTTATGCTATGGGCATGTGTTTATAGTGTTATGTGTAGTTGGTTTAGGGTGATAATGAATTGGTTTGTTACCTTTAGTTTTGACCTTTTTGACCCTATGCGTTTCGCTATCGTCTCATGTGCAGCGCTAGCTGCTTTTATTATGTCTGGTTGTTCGGAATCGGAAGATTCTGAGACGGTTACTACTGTTCAGCCTTCGGGTGAGGAGACTACTCAGGCACCTCAGTCCACGAGCTCTCCTACCAGTGCTATACCCAACTCGGGTGATGTTATAACTCAGAATGGTCCTATCATTGGTACTGTCATCTACAGCGATATGGAGAAGCAACAACCTATTCGACAGGATGTTGAAGTGTTCTACGGTATTCCTTTCGCCGAGCCGCCGGTTGGTGATCTCCGTTTTAAGGCTCCTAGGGAGTTCCGTGAGACCTGGGAGGAGCCTATCAACATGACGACTAAGAAAAGTATGTGTGTACAAAGCAATGGACGAGGTGACGAAGATTGTCTCTATCTCAATGTCTACCGTCCTGCTAATGTGACTCAATCATCGAGGCTTCCTGTGATGGCGTGGATCTATGGCGGAGGATATGTTAATGGCAATTCTCTCAGCTATGATGGTACTGTGTTGGCAGCGGAGCACAACTCTATTGTGGTCACGATGAACTACCGACTTGGGCCTCTTGGTTTCTTGGGTTCGTCAGCTTCCTTCGAAGAGGAGGGTACCACTGGGAACTGGGGTCAGCTCGATCAGCAACAGGGTCTGCGATGGATACAGAAGAATATTGCTGCTTTTGGTGGTGACGAGGATCGTGTTATGATTTTCGGCGAGTCGGCTGGTGCCTTCAGTGTTATGTGGCATCTAGCAGCTCCAGGTAGCGCTGGCCTTTTCCATGCAGCTATCCTAGAGTCTGGTACAAGTCACACTGGTGCATTCTTTCAGCATACGGAGGATGCTTACAAGTACTACGACTGGCTTGCACAAGAGGTTCTGGGTTGTAAAGACGGCAACGATATGGAATGTCTTCGTGCTGCTGATGCGACCAAGTTTACTCTTCCGGAGGGTATTCGTTTTGATCCCGCAGCCGCTCCTGAATGGGCGTCTCCCATCTTCCCGGTGATGCCTGTTGGTCCTGTTATTGACGGAGTTGCTCTACCTGATGTTCCGCTGGAGGTCGTCCGTGCTGGCAAGCACAATAAGGTGCCTACTATCGCTGGTGTAAACCATGATGAAGGAACTGGTTTTGTTCTCACGCTGAAGGCTCTAGTCCCGAACGTTCCGCTTCTACCAACTGAGGAGTCAGTTGAGGATACTATCTATTACGTTTTGCAGGACGAAAATGCTGTACAAGAAGCAATGGGCCTCTACCATCCAGATAATTTCGCTTTGCTCTATGGTGAAGAGAACCTTGGCTTCGAGCTGGCCTCTCAAATGATCCGAGATGCCATCTTTCATTGTCCTACGATGGCTTTAGCTAAGGCTCTTTCAGATCAAGGTGGTGACAGCTATGTGTATGGTTTTGATATGAATCCTCTGTTCCCGAAGAGGGTCGGGAACATCAACACTGGCAACATCCCTGGTATGAGCTTTGGCAACTTCAGTGTGACGCAGATAGGTACGTTCCATTCTGCGGAGATCCCCTTTGTCTTCAAGAGTTTCACAGACAAACCAGTCAGTGTAAAGAACCCAGATATGTACGACTTGTACATGGGTCATCCTCCTCGCAGTCGTGGTGATGCTTATCACAACGTCTCCGATCAGTTCTCTTGCATGTGGGCTAATATGGCTGAAAGTGCTTCTCCTGTTGATGGTGATGCTGTCTGTCCTGCTGAGCCTTCTTTGACGAGATGGGGTAAGTATATGGAAAGTGATGAGAGTCCTCTAGGTCAGTATCTCCATATTGGCAAGGACAGTATAGAGATGAGGAAGATTCGTGAAGACAACCAATATCCAGATTCGGAGTTTCCGAGTACCGAGATCTGTGCGTTTTGGGATACCCATCCTATTGTGTTTCACAACTTGAGGTCTGATTTGACTACTACGTCTACCTTCGTTCAAGTGTGATTTGACTACTAATTTACCAATTTGAGTGTAATTTGGTAGATATTTTTGACCGTCAGTGTTTTGTCTATAAGTGCACTCCAAAGTGGTCACTACTTTATTATTCACTTGACGTTTGTTTCGAAAGTACCTCCACTGAAATGCTAGTTTCTCATCTTCCTAAAGAATTGTGTTAATAATTGCTTTCGCTTGTCTAATTGAACCTGAACAGGCTGGAATATACTCCAGATGACACTGATCTGAAGAATAGTGAGACGTCTTTGCTCAGCGATTTTGCTCATTTCGTTCTCGTAAGGAGGTGCAGTTAGGACGAATTCATGGATTGAATCATTGCTTCAGTATTACGGTTCATTCGTGGTTTGATTGTAACAAAGTCAGCGCTTTTCTCATTAATTCCACGAAGTGAAACTATCGGTCGAGGATTTCGACATTGTTAGTTTGACACTCATTAGAGTTTAAGGTTCAATCGATCACAATTGTTTTTTATAAGTATTAATAGATGGAGCGTTTCGCTGCATTTTCGATTGATACAGGCTCCAATCCATGCCTGTTGACCTCACAGTCTATATTCTTCTGTAGCCATCCATGCACAGTGAGGAAGATATGAACAGATATGAACGCTGGAGATAGTGTTGGTGGAATATATGCTCGCTTTCCTCAGAATGTCACTTCACATGTAGTTGGCTTCACGCATAGTTCCCCCATACTGGTTGGAGAGAGGCGTATCAACGTGCGCGAACTAAATAGCGTATCTAAATAGCGTATACGAATGTGAAAATACCCTCTGCCAGAGGGTATTTTCACGTCGTCTCAACACATTGTTGTCCGTTTCACCAAATATGAGAGTGAAACATGGAGGGATACCATTATGAACGGTTCTCTTTCTGTTGATGTATAGCATTATATCAGGAGCGGAGTTATAGATATACTCCCCGAATGAAAGTTGGTATTTGGAGGCGCAATTTTAACACGTGTATGCTAAGAGTATGTGGAGGAAACGTTTTACCTGTCGTCGACTTCTCACTAACTACGAAGAGTTAGGCCCTGAAACTTGGAGGTCATATCAGGTAAAGCATAAATACATACCTCCCTGAGCCGCAAGATGATACTCGTTGTGGTGGCTGTGCACGAGTCGAAAAACCGAATATGCTAAGAAGATGTGGAGAGGTGTATTATACTGTTTCATGACGTGGACTATGCCACTTGCGTGATCGTGTCGCGCGTGAGCTGATGTTAGTAACATCGTGTTATCAATTCTCATGCAAGAAAATGTGTGAATCTCAGGTCAAAGATTTTTCAGAAATCACTTATCAGTATTACTTGAAAGTGGAATGCTAAACTAAGCATCATGTACCTCAGGTACATGATGCACCAGGTAACAGGTACAGTACCTGTTGCATGGCATAGCGCATTTGCCCCCAATACCATTGTTTGCTTAGCATTGCATAGATTGCACAGATTAAGTTTTTTGTGATGGATCTAGTACATGTTGCATGGAATAATTATGTTTTGCAGGTTCGGGAAATTGCAGCCAGACCAAAAAGGACAGGTATAAAAAATAGCACACGGCGTGTGCTATTTTTTATTTTTAGCGTGTGCCACACGCTATAATAACATACGAATATTTTAGCCAGTAGCAAACAGCAGCTTTATGAGCTCTTCGTTGCGTTATTCAGTTAGCATGAACACTTAGTCTTCACTTATTAGCGTATTACGAACATAACTCTCAATCCATCAGAGACATTTGGTTGACTAGATGATAGGTATAAAAAGTCAGATGAACCGAACCTTATCCCTGCGAAATAATTCGTCAGGTACTTGAAACATCGGCCTATCGTGCCGTCGGGCTGCAGGATGGCTTCAACAAATTCGTACTGCAACCTAAGAGAGGCAAATTCAGAGATGCCCCTCATCTCTCAGCCTGCAGGAGGCCTCAAGCATGGAAAAAGTGGAAATGTCGAAAATTACCCAATCTCCAAAGGCTTTGATTAATCGAGCAAACTTAGTCACGCAGGACTCCTACTCTTCGAGGACATAGCCAAGTGTTGAAGAATACGCATATCTTGACTGAATCTAGATCGAGGCATTGGGCTCCCTCTTGACATTCGGCATCCTGAAGAGTGATGAACAGCTGTGATTGAGAAGAGGAGAGAAGTAGCAACTCCGACGAGAACGCGAAGCTACAATCATCATGTAGCATTCACAATTGATCACAACTTCATGTAGATACTGTCTATGTGATCCTGACCTAATAATGGTCCGCTTCGAGAGGAACTGCAAGAGATGAGAAATCCGACCGGTTACCTACAGCTCCACACGCAACCACGCAGTATGGTGCATCCCCAAGATGCACAAGTTTGCCCTTAGCTGGGATAGACGGACAGTTCTCTCCCACGGGAACGATCGGCATGCATACCGTGGAGCGATTTAGCCCCTAAATGAAGCATTTAATCACCGAATGAACTGCTGAGTTTCAACTGGTAGTTCGTCCTCGGAGAGAGGCTTGTCTCACCGACGCCAAGAGCTCCTGTTTAATGCCGTCCACTGTTGGGCAAGACCAGTCAGGAAGAGGTGGACCGTACAGCTGGTTAGGGGGATACCTAAATACACCGTTCTTCCAGTGCTCGTTGAGTATTTGATGATCGTTACGAGGACTCAGAGGATCGCTAGGGAAAAAATAGCAGTACGGTCAATGATGTGTGACTAGACATACTCCAGGGTCATCTGCTGCTCGTGGAGGACTACAGCCTCAGTCAGTTGTCCAGCAATCACGCATGCGAAGATGTAGGCGCACAGCTTAATCAAAGACATTGGAATGTACTGAAGTGAATACTCATTCTGCATGAGTCATGCATCATGACTCCGAACCTTGTGTCGAAATACTACATCAGGAGCCGCAATTCGCGAGGGAAATACACGCAGCTTTCACGTGAAATAGCCAAGCTGCGTGAGATCCAAAAGCTCTGGTATTAAACCGGACGACTACGTAGTAGCTACACGATTTAACTTTACGAGTATAAAACTTTTATAATGAAAGTCTCTCCTCAGCTACTTGTAACTCATCCTAGTCCCTTAACCGACACATAGTAGATTGCAAGCATTGTAAGAGAGTGTACAATCTCGGAAAGTATAGTCATTCCACCACGTAGGAGGCTGACGGTGCTACATGCGATTGCTTCTGGTCCTATTCACACCAGATTGATTATACGTGCGTAGTCAAGTAGCTGTAACCCACAACGAAGTGAAAAATAAACCTTCATAACTCTCTCGAATTCATGTTCACAATTACGGGTGGCGGCTGTAGCATGCCGAAGATGGCTATGCGCGGACCCCCTTTCCATGTGAGAGATTGAGAATGCTCCTCAGTCCGCACGCGCCCACATGATCCATGACGCGTTGCTTTTTCTTTCACTTGTTTTTGCGTACTCCACGACAGCTAGTCGAATTTGTAGCGGCCAATAGCTGCAAATAGGATAAATGGTGAGAGTTAAAGTTCTTCTACTTCATTGAGACCATCATGGCATCGAGCTCTGCAGTCGGAAGAGCACAAATTCCAGCACTCCAAGCCGGAGGGTCGTGATTGTCCACCCATCGTTCAGTTATATGCTGTAATCAGGCAGTAGTTGAGCATTATGTCTCTGGACCTCTGTCACTCTGTGTGCACCATTGAAATCTTAGCATTCCTACTCATTTCTTCAGTGTAAGTAGCTGAGAATGGTTATCCTTGCACTCTTGAAGTAATTTTTGCCCACAAGCCATTAGCTATGCCCTTACACAGTTGCACACATACACAAAGATGTTGAGTAGAACGCAGACAGCGACCAAGAGTTGGTGTGCGTGAGTAGAGTGATTCTGCGCATTAGCGAATCGTCTCGGGCTAGATTGAGAGATCAAGACAGCCGCAAGTAAGAAAGCTATTGTCAAAGATAATCCTGTGGCACCCTCAAAGGAAGATCCTTGCTTCTTCTCCCAATCTTCCTAACTCTGTAAATTATGACATGGGGGATAAGCTCTTAGAATGATTATGCTAATGAGTGTAAAACATCACTGTTCCGAGTTGAACGCAATGCTAGGGAGAACGTAAGTACGAGGAAACCTAGAGTAGTGAATTAATGGTTTTAAATAGTAGTTGCGAATAGTGGTACAGCTACATATAAATTGATCGACCAGTAGCTTCATCAGCTAAAATAGCTGATGAATAGCTAATATCAGGACATAGCTCAGTATAAGAGTCGTACCCAGGAATAGATCCTGAAACTTTTGGTTACGCGGCCATACAGGTTAACCACGTGGCCAGATAGACCTACTTGAATATATATGCATGAGTACGATCCGTATGGATGTGCCTTTGCACGTTTACATATGTCACACTGGGCAATAACCTCTCGGCATGTTGCTTGGAAACCTAGTGTGATTTCACCCATTTGCGAAGACTTTAGTATAATCAGAGCCTCTGCACCCTCGTGGTTGCGATTACCTTCAACAAACTGTTTCACATGAGCAGCTGGGATAATCCATTCTCGCACGTACTCGGCGAGTAGTACTCGCATCCTGCCATTCATGGGTACGAGTTTGCTGCTGCCAAAATACGAAGTTTAACCTTGGTTCCCGCTTTGGCAGTCTTGACCGTTCTCAATGTTCAGGTATCCGTGGTCTTTCATCTGGCGGGTTCTCACCACTGGCTATATATTCGAATGTCACGTCTATTTTATACAGTTGTATCATACAACTTGTATGAGAATCTCATATGAGATCGTCTATCATTTATAGACGGACCTCTGCTGCGCCTGATGCTAGATCTTTAGATGCTACCCAATGGCTGAGCTTTTTTCCTGCCAGGAAATTCCTGGGGAGTTGACCTAAAACTGGTTTGCTATCAACATACACTGTTAATGCAAGACCATTTGTGATGTCTAGAGCGTCTATCCAAGGGACGGTCAAGCCATTGAGACCTCTCAAGGCTGCTCTCAACTCAACTGTATCGATTGGTCGGATATCTCTCGTGGCTCGGAGCCAAGGTCTATCTTCGACCAACTACTGGTTACTACTTCGACTATCTTCCAAAATACACACAAGATCCAATTGCGTCTGTCGAAGCATCCGTATACAAAGACCACGGTTGTGAGGCATCTTAGATGTGTAGAATTTCCGTGTAGAATTTTCCAGCGTCCGG